GCATTTTCGAAACTCGTGGAACGATACGCTTCAGATACGTGCATTTCGTCGTAGGTAAATTTTATAACGCCTTTAAAACGATCATTAAAACATATTGAATTCTGGCTAAATGATATACATGCTGAAAAGTTTGAGTCTAAAGGGTACAGATGTCTGCAACTTGCTCCAAAAGGCATTAAAAATGCCCTGATGGGGGCATAGACACATGGACAGGTATGTGGCAAAACAAAAACAGTCCAATGTTATTTGTAGAATCTAGGTGGTGGATATTATAGACATTCATTGTGTAATTCTTTCAACTTTTCTGTATTTTTAAAATTTTCATAATAATGTGCTGGGGGGAAAATTCAGTGAGAGCAGGGACCATGAGTATATTATATAAAGGGAATTAGCCTACATATAGTATATTTTATATTACTAATCATAATGTTCTGTGATTTGCTTCTAGTTTTACTTGATATTATGTCATGAAAATCTTTCTATGATGTTAGATAGATAGATATGTGTGTGAGACAGAGAGAAAGAGGAGAAAAACACTTCATTTTTTTAAATGTATCATGGAGATATCATTATATCTTTAACCTTCACATTATTAGCTAATATTTTGGCCATTTCCATCTTTTCTATTACCAATCATAAAGTAAATATCACTTTACATAGATCTTTTGTGCTTTGCTTTTGAGCTTCTTTATGTTCGTGGATCTATGTCCACTATAGCATTCTAGATGCTTCCCCAGCCCTGTCCTATCTCCCCACCCTGTCCCAACACACAGACTTCAGCACAGTGCCTTCCCCTGGCGAGAGTCAGGGGTGTAAGAGAATAAGAAAGCCCCCATTCAAACTTTCCAGCATAACTTTTTAAAAAGACTTAGATCATACAAATCACTACCAAGAGCACAAAGTCTAAGAAGACAAGCAATGTTAGCATTAACTACTTAATGGATGTTTACTGTGCCAGCACATTAGGGTTAGAGGAATCAAGTCTATAATGTAAGGAGTTGTATTTATGCTGTGTATATACTGTATCAGGTACTTGCTGTGTCTACTTTATAAGGTAAACTCGTATAATCAACCTGGACAGTCCATATCTGCCCAATTTATATATGTGTGGTACAATTTTAACTCCAGCAACCATTCGACAACCACAGGGGTTAAATTCTTAAAAGGTGTAAAGGTTGGCAAAGCCCATGTTAGAGACTGAAGGAATCATCGATACAGAGGGTTAAGGACAAAACTATAGGAAGCGACATTAAATAATAAATGAATTCTACCTCGGAATGCTGGAAGGCATCTATCTATGTGCATGTGGCCAGACATCCTTCCAGGTAAATGCCTTCACCTGTTCGGGAAAATAAACTCTCCAAATTTGTTCTTCTTTGTAAAGCTTTTGAAACAAGGCTTACTCGTTTAGAATTCAATGGCCTTCACACTTGCTTTCTCCCTTGTTTCGTTTTCACAGGTCTTAGCAAAGTGCTTGTGTCATTCCCTAGTCACTTCACAAATTATTACAGTGCTTAAGAGCATGTTTTTCTGGGCCGGATCTGAAACAGTGGACCTGGGGGAAGGGAGGCATAGACAGATTACCCCAAAGGTTGATCTCTTTCATCTCAAATCACTGCGCCTGTGTTCTTCTGTTTATGGGGATTGATCTATATACCGAATCAGACTTCAAAATGTTCAAAGTAGGCATTCAAATATAAAACCTGCATTAATTTTAAAACCCTGGTTGGCAAACCTAGAGTTACAAAGGATTACTATATGTTTTAAAGGATCATAGAGGTGTTTGTTATTCTACTTTGCTTTCATGACATACTGTTGTTTTCATCTATGATTTATTTGATGCTACTTCTCCAGTCTGGAACAGAACTCTCAATTATTACAACAGTTTCCATGGAAACATGTGATCTATTCTCTCTCATTCTCTCCCTGTTCCCCAATGATCCATTCTCCCACTACTCCACCTCCCCAACCCCAACTCTAATCCCTTCCATAAGGTCTTCCAGAACTTTCATTCCTCCATCAAAAATTCCCCAGCCTAAATTGTCAAGTGATCAAAAACGTGCATGGTACACTAACTTTTGAGTTAAGAAGGACAAGAATAAAAATGTTAAATTAGCATAGAGAGACTGGAAAGATGCAAATTAAACTAACAAATGTGTTCACCTAGGGATGGCGGTTGCAGTGACGAGTCACAGAAAGATGTGAACCTGGGTGAGAGCAAAACTTCTCCATGTTTATCCTTTTAATGTCATTCTAATTATGAGCCATGTGAATACATTGCTTAGTAGAAATAGAATTAAATTTTTGAAAACTTCGCCAAAGCTTCAGCTTATTGGAACCTCTTCTTTCTGTAGGCCCCTTTCTTCCCCATCATCAGGGAAACTGCTCTACCTTTGAAATCTAAATGCCTCTATTCTTCCTAACATTTTAAATATCTTGGCCTCGGCCATTTGGTTTTTATGCCTAGACTTCTAAACCCCCCTTTTCCCCACCCAGGCAGTGACCCTCTTCCTGCTCGACTTCTTTCTCCACCCAGTCTAGATACCATTTTCATTCACTGATTCAACACACTTCTACTGGAGCACCTGAGATAGGCCGGGCTCCATGCATCTGCAGTGGGCGTCTCTCTGCCTAGAATCCTTAACTCCCTTGTTATCACAATCTTCTGGTTCGCTGATCCTGTGAATCTGCAGCTCAGCTCAAACTCACCATCTTCTCCAGCCCCACATGAAGGCAGCTTAGAGCTACTAGCAAAAAAATCACACAATGGTGTGGACACTGCCAACTGCCTGTGCTCTAACTTTGGGGACCCCAGACTGCTTGGCAATCTAACTGAGTGCCCTTACTCTCTGTTCCCATTCCATGCCAAGGGTCTTCCAACTTTGGGCCATCAGCTCAGATCCCTTATTTCATCTCAGCAGAGGACCTTGCCACCCATAGACAGAGAAAACCCATGCATTCAATCTAGGAACAGAATGAATTCCATCCCTAGGCACTGGAAACAGAGTGGTGACCAGGACACAGAAGATCCCTACTCTTGTGGGTTTCTTTTCTTTTCTTTTCTTTTCTTTTCTCTTTCTTCTCTCTTTCCTCTTCCTCCTCCCTCTCTCCCTCCCTCCCCTCCTCCTCTCTCTCTCTCTCTCTTCTTTCTCTCTTTTCCTTCCTTCCTCCTTCCTTCCTTCCTTCCTTCCTTCCTCTCTTCCTTCTCCTCCTCCCTCCTCCTCCCTCCCTCCCTCCCTCCTCCTCGCTCCTCCTCTTTCTTTCTTTCTTTCTTTCTTTCTTTCTTTCTTTCTTTCTGATGGAGTCTTGCTCTGTTGCCCAGGCTGGAGTGAAGTGGTACAATCACAGCTCACTGCAGCCTCAAACTCATGGGCTTAAGCAATTCTCCTGTCTCAGCCTCCCAAGTAGCTGAGACTACAAGTGAACACCACTATGTTTGGCTAATTTCTAAAATGTTTTGTAGAGACAGAGGTCTCACTATGTTGTCCAAGTTGGTCCCAAACTCCTGGGCTCAGGTGATCCTCCCACCTTGGCCTTCCAAAGTGCTGGGATTGCAGGCATGAACCAGCATGCCCAGGCCCTCTTGTTGAACTTAGAAAGGAAAGAGGAACCAACCAGTAAAGAAACAGGAAAAGTATCACCCAGTAGTGGGGGTTATAGAGAGCAAGTGGGTGGCAACTTTGAGTGGGCGGTCAGGGAAGACCTCTCAGAAGAGGAGAAGTCTACGTTGAGATGTGAATTACAGGAAGGAACCAGCCACACAAAGGGCAAAGGGAGCAGCATCGCCAAAGCTCTAAGGGAGGAAGGAGCTTTGTATGTTTCAGTAACCGAGAGCCACCATTGTGGCCAGAGCACAGTGGGTGATGGAGAGAAGAAAAAGAAGATGGAAAAGTCAAGCAGAGAACAAGGGGCAGATCGCAAAGGGTGATGTACGCCTAAGACATAGCATACAATTGATTCTAATCACAATGGGAAGTCATGGGAGGGTTTTAAGCAGGTAAGCGCCTTGCACTAATGTAAGCTTTAAAAAATTGTTATGGCTGCTAAGTAGAAAGTACATGGATTATAAGTAACAAGATTGGGAGTGGGAACTCAGTTAGGTGCTTCTGCAGTTGTCCAAGTGATCCATACGGTTTAGATTAGGATTGCATGAGTGAAGATGCTTTGAAGGAGCTGTCAGGGTTCACTGATGGATTGCACGTGAGAGGGGCAGGGAGGATGGGGTGAAGGAAAGAGGGGGAACTCAAGGATAACCCCCAGATTTGGGGCTTGAGCTACAGAGATGGGGAAAAAATTTATATTTTTTGCACACCTGGGTTTGTGGTATGAGATTTATGCTAGACATCTTTATGGCACACAAAGGGATTAAAAGACTCAAAGCAACACTAAACAAGTCAGGAATGCTTATAACACAATCTCAACTCCAGTAAAACAGTGTCTCATGGCATCTATAAAAGCATCCAGAATCACTCTATGAGTCCCAGGGTCATCCTTCCACTCTGCTGCTGTTTGAAAGGGACTGTTTCCTTTCTGGGCTGCCAGAGTAATCTTTTCCAAAAGGCAAATCTGATCGTGTCACTTCCCTGCTTAAAAACTTTCAATGGCTCCCCATTACACTGTGAATAAAATCCAAACTCCTCATCATAGCTCATAAGGCTTTGTGTGTTCAGGCACCTGCTTACTCTATGATGTCACATCCTACAACCTCTTCCTGCTCATGACATTTCAGCCCCAACATCTTCTGTTGAAACCCTAGAATGCACCAAGCCCTTCCCGACCTCAGGACCTTTGCACGTGCTATTCTCTCTGCTGAGGATGTTCTTTGCCAGCTCTTTGAAGGCCTAGCTGGTTCATTCCCATCCTTCAGGTCTCAGCTTGAATGTCACCTCCTCAGACAGTCTGAGTGGGTCCCCTTTTGATTTGTTTGTGACCAAAAGCAATGTGCCTGCCTTGTTAGATGTTCCTTCCTGAGCAGGTGCAGCCACCAAGTCATACCGTACCTTGCCAAAGCTGCCTTTCCCCAGCACCATCAGGAAGTTAAAATCGGTCAGTTTCATCCGGTCCCTGTTGCCATTGTTGTCAAATTTGGATATGGTGTTGGTCGTCTTTTCTTCCGGAACCTTGGTTCCCGGGCCGATCTTGGCTCTCTGGAGGAGGAAGCACACAGAGAACATTACTGGGGTTTGAGGATGCCCTTGTAGGAAGACACACATAAACACCGGAAGCTGTGGTTCCCGCAGCCCAGGCAGCCCATCCACGGGCAAAGCACGAGCCTACATCCTCCGCTTTGCAAGCCTGAGACCTGGAGGCCATCCTTGGTACCTCCACCTCCCTTTCACCCCTTATGTCTCATCCATCCCCAGGAACTGTCATTTTTTCCCCTTCCCAGCTGTCTCTAGAATTCTTCTACTTCTTTCCATCTCCCCCTACACCACCTGCCATCCTCGCCCACCTGGACAATGCACATTGAATCCCTTCTCACTGGGCTTCACACACAGGCCAGCCTGAGTGAGCTTCTCACCCAACCAAGCCAACCCCTGCTGGAAATGCTTCAGTGGAGTCCCACTACTTTTAAGGTAAAGATCAAAGGCCTTTCACTGGCCTCTAGGATCAGGCCCTACCTGGCTCTCCAACCTCATCCCTTCTAGGGTCTTTCTTCCCTGTAAATCAGCTTCATCCTCCTTTCACTCCCCCAAATGTCCCGGGCTCCACCTACCTCAGGACCTTTGGACCTGCTGCTGCTGCTGCTGTATGCAAAGCTATTCTGTCCCCTTTGCCAAGCTAGCTACCCACTGCGTCCCATTTTCACTTCCTCTGGGAAGCCTTCCCGGATTCTCTGTCTGAAGTAGATTTCCCTCCTTCCACTTCACTTCCCACTAATATTAGATGATAGCTGTTTGTTTGTTCCCCTCCAATAAATGGAAACTCTGCAAGGACAGGGAGTATTTCTCATTCTCTGTGATTTTCCTGATGACTAGTATAATTCCCAGCTAAATACCTATTGAATAAACAGATGAGTTGGTGCCCGTGTTTGTCCTCAGTGCAGAGCTCCCTGCTGTGAGCGGCAGGAGGGGGGCTCAGAGTGGCAGCAGGTGCTTTGGGAGTTTGTCACTGGACTCATTGCTAGCAGAGAGAACACTGTGGAGCTAAAAGCTTGGGTTAGACTGTGACTCAGACATGGATCAGCTGTGTGGCCCTGAGCAAGTCAGGTGGCTCATGGCACCTGTCTGCGCACACATCCTATCCCCTCCCATTCCTCTCGGAGCAAAAGCCAAGGGCTGCAGGTGACCTGGCCCACCCCTCTGCACCTGTCCAATTTCAGCCTCCTTGCTACTTCCACACTGGTATCCTTGCTGTTCTCTGAACATACCAAACATGCTCTTGCCCCAGGGACTTTGCACTTGCTGTCCCTTTTGCCTGGAATACTCTCTCCCCAGAGCCCCCACCCCTCCCTGAACACCCTGCATAAAATTGCTCTCAGCAATCTCCATTCTCCTTACTCGACTTTCTCCAGGTCACTTGTCACCATCTTACAGATCATATGTTTCTTAATTTATTGTCTTTCTGCTCACACCAGAACACAAGCTCCCTGAGGGCAAGGATTTTGTCTGCTTTGTTTTCCACTGTTTCCCTGGTACCTAGAGCAGTGCCTGGTGCAGAGAAGGTGCTTACTTGCGTTGGGTGACCGAACCTTTCTAAACCTTGGTCCCTTTTTCAAGACAATGGAGAGAATGACATCATGTGTCACAGAGTTCTTAGCACCATTCCTGGCACACAGTGGGTGCTCAGTGGATGGAAGCTATTATTACTGTGGCATCATTCAGTTATTTTTGGAAGACTAGGAGACAACGAAAATCTTTTCTGGGTTTTGAGTATCACGGAAGAATCATTCATTCATTCATTCATTCAAGAAAGACTTATTGAGAGCCTGCCATGTGCCAAGTGCTGTTCTAGGTGCTGAAAATATATTAGGGAGCACAATAGATATTGGTGCTCAAAGATTGTGCATTTTAGCAGGGACTGGGTCCTCTGCCCTGTGTCCAAAAGGTATGTTGGAGTTATCCAGGTGGAGAACTTGGTGCTGGCAGCAGGAATGCATTTATGGAACAGAGAGGAAGACACATTTGAGGAACTGAACACTGGTCGTCTGGCTGGAGCATGGAGCGCAAGGTGGACATGGCACAGAAGGTAGCTGAAAGGTGAGAAGGACCTTGCGCACCACATTAAGACATTTGGGATGATTCTGAGCATGGCTAGCAGCTTCTGAAAGGTTTTAAGTAGGGCAGTGGTGTGATCATATTACATGTAGAAGATCACTCTGGGTGGAGTGAAGAGGTTCATTTGAAGGAAGTGAGTTTGGAGATCATTAGGATGTGACTTCAGTTATTAAGGAGAGAAAAGGTGGGGTCTGAACTCAGGTGTAGATGGAATGAAGGTGGCCTATTTGGAAGCTACATGTGTCACAGCTGGCTTGAGGACAGATGTGGGAGAAGGGGTATCAGAGATGAAGAACAGCTCCCCAGCTTCTGTTTTGGGGGACTGGGAGAATGGTGGTACTTTCCACTGAGATAAAAAGTGGAAGAAGGCCAGGCACAGTGGCTCACACCTATAATCCTAGCACTTTGGAAGGCTGAAATGGGGGGATCACGTGAGGCCAGGAGTTCGAGACCAGCCTGGGCAACATAGTGAGACTCCCATCTTTACGAAAAATTAGCTAGGCTTGGTGGCGCATGCCTGCAGTCCCGCTACTCAGGAGGCTGAGGCAGGAGGATCCCTTGAGCCCAGGAGTTAGAGGCTGCAGTGAGCTATGATGATGCCCCCACACTCTAGCCCAGGTGATAGACTGAGATTCTGTCTCAAAAAAGAAAAGTGGGAGAGGAGGAGCAAGTTTGGTAGTGTGGCATGAAGGCGGGCAGAGATGACCATTCTGATTTCAGACGTGTTGAGATCCCCTTCCCCACAGTGGCTTGAACCTGCACGGTTTACTTCTTCCTCATAGGGTACACATTCCCCCATCATTTAGAGACCAGGGCAAACACAACATCCACCGTTTTCTCTTTCTGGAATTAATATTTGGAAAATGGAGGTGGGCGACACAGTGAAATGCATAAATCTCAAGTGTACAGTTCTACGATTTTTGACAACTGCAAACACGCATGTAACCCAAACCCCGAACAAGATACAGAACATTTCCATCACCTCTGAAAGTTCCCACTCAAGCCCCCCTCCCACTAAGGCAATCTCTGTTCTGATTTCTCTCCCCATAGGTCAGTTGTGTCTGTTCTCGCATCTCATCTACACGGCATCGTAGAGTGCGTACTCTTTTGTGTCTGGCTTCTTCCACTCATCAGGATGTTCTTGAAATTCATCCACATTGTTGCATGAGTCAGTAATTTGTCCCTTTGTGTTGCTGAGCGGCACTCATTGTTCATGTTTATCCACTCTCCTGTTTATGGCATTAGATTGCTTCCACTTTCGGCCTGCTTAACAAGGCTGCTATGAACATGCTGGTGAGGTTATTCTGCAGTGAGATACGTGGAGGTTTATGTGTCTCTGGGACAACCAAGGACAAATACCCAACAATACCCAGTAAGCAGTTGTAGAGGAGCGTTTGGGCTTGAGAAAAGATATCTGGAGACAGAGATTTGAGGGTTATAGGCAAAGAGGGGTAGTTAAAACCATGAGATGGTCTTATTTGCAAGGGCAGACTGCAAATAAGGAAAGAGCCAGGCGAGGACAGAAGCTGCCCCCTTTTCTTGGCGCCCTCCCAAGCCCCCGAGTTTTGGCTAGGCTGGGCTGACCCAAACACATCCCGGCGCCTTCCCCGCCCCACCATCTCACCACTTTGTGACTCTGTCTCTCACCTTCATTGGATCCTAACTCTAGACTCATCAGATTCATGCACTCCATTCTCCAACCCGTGAAGGTCTAAGTCCTGACTGTCCGGGTTCCCAGGTCCCATCCCGGGTTTTCCTGCCCATCCGCCTGTAGGTCCCAGCGCTCAGGCCCAGTGAAGCGTGAGTGTGGTGCTCAACTTCCCAACGTCTTCATTCGACTTTGCTTAGTGAATTGAGATAAGAATTTTTTTTGTTGTTATCTTTTTTTTTTCCTGTCCTTCAAGGAGTAACGAGTGGCTAATAGCCTCATCTCTCAGCCCTGCAAGCTCTCTTCTTCCTTCCTTTTGGGAGGTTTCTCATGGGTATGTTAATTCAACTTCTAGAATCTAGATCAGAAGTCTAATAACCCTGTTGGTCTGGTCTGCACAGTGTTTGTTGTTATTTTAATATTTAATTAGTTGCCAACTGTTGGAAATCTGGAGATGTTTTATGAAAACACAGATTCCCCACTTCTTTTGAAGATGTAGGTCTGGTGACACTAGGTAGGGCTGAGCGCTTTCCCCTCCTTGTTATCTGCCAGCTCCTCAAACCATCTGGGCGTGTGACCCTACACAGCCAACCTTCTGAGGATGAGAACCCCGTCCTGTGTCCTTCCAAACATCCCACTGTTCCAAGAGCCTCATGCCCAGTGTGTAACCATCAGAGAGTGACATTTGAAGATTGAGACCCGAATTAAAGTTGTCCTTTATCTGGCTGGGCAGGCTGGGCCTTCAGAAACAGGACTACACTCATGGCTGCCTTTTCATGTCAGCAATTAGAGCGCTTGAACTCAGCGCTCAAAGAGAAAGCAAACAGAGGACACTCCCGAGCAAAGAGCCGTGCCACTCTCTAGCCTTCATTAGGGGACTGTGGGGGCCTCCTGGTGTCCTGGCTCCAGGCCTCATCTCAGATGACGAACGCCTGTCCTGGCTTGAACTACAGGCTCCCTGCCACCCCACCCCTACAAGGAGTTACTGCGGGCACGCCCAGCCACCCAGCAGTGGAGACAAAGGCCTCTGCAGGCTAGAAGGGCCTGCGGATTCTCCTTAACCCCCAAGGAGCCCTTCCAACACCCAGAAGGAGCATGCTCTGAGTTTTGTTTATTCCAAGGGGTTGGGGGAAGCTGATGGCGATAACAATGATGCCAGCAACCTAACATCTGAATGCTCATGACGTGCCAGACACTTTTCTAAATGCATTACCTCATTCACGCCGCACATAACCTTATGAGCTAAGCAGTGCCATGATTCCCCATTTTACAGATGAGGGGTTGAAAGCTCAGAGAGACAATGTAACTTGCTTACGGCCACTCAGCAAAGAAGTGGTAGAACTGAGATTCAAACCCAGGCAGCCTGGCATTCCAGCCAGTGCACCTAACCACTAGGCTACACTGCACAGATGTGGCCATTGGTGTTCCACCAAGACGCCGCCAGCATGCTCCCACACCTGAAGCTGCTCACAGCAAACACTTGTGACTCTGACTGCAAACACAGCAAACACTCTTTGCCTGAGGACTTATTTTCTGGTTGCAGGAGCAAGCACAGCCCGCAAGCAGGGCACATTGAAAGTGCTGGCCAGAGAATTCTGCTGGGAACAGCCCTCAACCTGCGATGGAAGGGGAGCTGGCACGTAGCACCTCAGCTTCCTGTCCCTTGGTGGGGCTGGGGCATGAATTCTGTGCTGACTCCCAGCTTCTCCAGCAGGATGAAACCCCAGTTGCCCACAGCAGTGACTGGGCTTGATAAATACTTCCTTTTCTGGTTTCCTTTTCTTTCCTTACTGTCCCACGACCTGACGGTGCTTCCAGGATCACCTCCCAAATAAGCTACTGGCACTTGAATCCTTATGGTCTGTTTCTGGGGAAACTCCAACCAGGACAATGACCAGCTCTGGGACCTTGAAAAGTTACTTAGCTTCTCTGGGCCTCAGTTTCCTCATTTGTAAAAGAGAAATGAGGGTAATAATAGTAACCACCATTCAGGGTTGTTATAAAGATGAAATTGTGTAAGTTAACATTTGCAAAGCACTTAGAATAATAACTGGCACGTAGCAAGCACTTTGCTAAATAAAATCCCATTCTGAACCATCCAAAATGGAGTCTTCTCTTGCCCGGCCCATCGGCAAGCCCATGGTCAGACTGGAAGCCCCCCAAACAGAACCTACTCTGATGATATACCACGTGTGGTAACTGCACCAAGCTCACGCTGCCATGAAATTCTATTACCCTGATTCCAGCAGCTCGACTTCACTGTCACTCAGACTTCCCCCAGATAAGAGGCTTGAAAGTAATTTCTGAGTCATTCCCGGGTGCTAATTGGTTATTGCACAGGGATTACATTTCTCACGTTCAAGGTCAACTGAAGTTCCTCTCTGAGTCTGAGAACAATTTTCAGTCTGTTGGAAACAATTTTTTAAATCAACAACTACAGTATGGAGTGATTATAATTCAGGCATAAACAAGCATTTGCAGGCTCTTGCTGGAAATAAAGGGAAACATTTTGCTGCATGCAGATAAAACAGTCCTTTGCTCCAAGCCAATTACTGGCCCAGACAAATGCTCTGCTCACGTAGGAAATGTTTTCCTTGGTGTTCTGAAGTGTCATCCCGGCTGCCCCGGGACAGAAGAAATCATTTCGCAAAACTGAGATGTCGTTGTATGCAAGAAGATACCGGCCTTGTTTTTTCACCCATGATAGTATGTTTCTAAGGTAGCAGCAAACGGACACCACTTCGTCAGAAAGTCAGGGGGAAGAGCTGCAAAGTGTTTTCTGGAAAGACTGCCTTCCTGTCGTCAGTTTTATCAAATAGCGTCCAGTTCTCAGCTCTACTTGGAGGAAATGTCCTTTTATCAATTCACTTGGGCTTGAGCCCAAGACTATGGGAATGACCCTCTGTTATCAAGGTCACTGGAGAATGGCTGATAAGCTCAAGGACAATGTGTTCATTCCACTTGGGTCCAGGAAGGGAGACCCCACCAGATCAGGACCGTCACCATCGTCCAGGTTGTGCAGAGGACACGGGCTCAAGACAGGGACCCGGGAATACTCAGATGCTGTTTCCGTCAAGTGGAGGGAAAAACTAACATGGCTCTTGGGATAAATGCCAATATCCTTGCTAGGCCAGTGCAGTCCTGCTACCCTGACCCTCACCCACTTCCCCAGCCTTACCTTGGACTCGCCCTTTGGCTTTCTCTGCTCTACCCACACTGGCCTTCTTTCAGTCTATATATCTCCCCACCACAGGGCCTTTGCACTTGCTGTTCTAGCTGAATGGAATACTCTTTACCCCCTTTTTTACGTGGTTAACTTCCACTGTTGCTTCCCCCATGACATCTTCCTTGTCCTCTCAGACAAGGTGACATTTCCCTCTTATAGGTTCTCAAAGTACCTGATCTCTCTTTCACAGGACTTTACAGGACCTTCACCAAGTTTTTCATTTGCTTGTGTTGTTATTTGAAGAATAACAATGATAACAATCCACTTCATTTTAGCTATGCTGTTTTATTCCTCTTTTTCAGGGTTAGTAGACCATCACTGCTTATCTAAAACTGATTTCCCACCAGACTCAGCATATTGAGTTTGTGTGAGCAAAATAGTGGGTTTTCCCCTCATGAAACTACTTTAAAATCATTCAATGCACATATAATGTAAGCACTCAAACCCATCTTCCCCAAAACATTTTCTTTGTAAAACTGGGATGTGTTCTATACATCTGCTGCTCTCATACAGTTGAAAATGGCATGTTATCTGTCCCCTCAGAAGGGAAGGGGTTTCTCTTAGGTGGGAGCAGAGCCAGCTGTACAGCCCAAGGTCAGAGCCAAGGACTATCCATGTGATAAAGTTATTATACCTACCCATGAAGTCACCAGCACAATCAATTCCATTTGTTAACAGTGTAGCACCATCCTGCCAATAGATCCAAACCCAGATTCCATTCATCAGCAAGCCTATTTGACTCAGCCCGCCAAACATCTATCACATCTACCCTGTGCGCTTCTTCCAGTTACCATGACTACCACCATTCCTGTCCACGTCACCATCAAAATCATACGGCCAGTGAATGAGTGCTTTTGAAGAAATGCCTAAATCTGAAAGAGGACAGCAAGGCAGGAATGACTTCATAAGGCAGGGGACATTTCACTGGGGTCTTGAAGGATGAATAGGAGTTGTTTTTTAGGACATGGAACGGCATGGTGAAGGCTCAGAGTCATGAAAGGTCTTGGGAGAAACCACGCCATACACAGGGGAAACAGCAGAGCCACAGACCTACCTGGCTCCCACTGATGCAGAAGGAAAGAAAGAAACCTCACCTCAAATTTCTGCCGCAGCTCCTCATTGCCCTCGCTTCCTTCCGGTGGCACAGGCACGTTGAAGTATTCGCCTTCCTCCTGGCTCAGTAACTTAAACCTAGAGGGGGACAAGGACACAGGACAAATTCCATGACTCAATATTATTTCGTTGATCAAGATACAAAAAGGAGGCCTATAGAAACCTCTACTTATGAAAAAAAAATGCGTTGAGGTTTTTAAATTTTGTTTTGGTTTTGGGTATGTGGGTGTGTGGGTATGGGTGGGTTTACAGCCAAGTATACTATATATTTTTGTAACTATTCCATGGATATCAGAAAGAAATGTACATTCTGTGTTTATAGCATGCAAAGTTCTCTCTCTCTCCACACACACATGGTTTTCCTAGTTATATTATTCAATTACGGTATGTTTTTATTTATTTTTGTCCATTAAGTGCTTTCTTATTCTGAAAGAACACTACAAAGTCTCCTCACTGTAAATGCATTCTTACCATGCTCCCCGAGAATTTCTGCATTTCACTTTGCACTTGTTGCCACCTTGCCATCCCTGGATGACTTAACTCTAGGATGGTATTTTTCTCTGCAGAAATTTGCCCGCAGTGTTCTGTATTCCACCTCTTGAGAAATGGTACCCCTTAGTGGTTAAGCATATAAACCCAAATCTCACTTCTATCCTTGCCTTCTTGGACAACTTTGGATAAGTTTGGTTAGGCTCTCTGAGCCTCTGTTTTTCTCATCTATATTAATAAATTGGAATACAAGTGCATCTCTCATAAAATTGCTGCAAAGTTGAAATGTAATGATGCATGTAAAACAGTAAGCCCAGTACTTGGCATTCAGCCGGTGTTCAATGAGCAGCCTCATCATCATCATCATCGTCATTACTGCTACTAACATCATTGTGATAAACATGGTGGCTTCAGTTCGTTTCCCGACCACAAAGATGTTTACAGCGAGTCAGAGGATGAGATGAGAGCGAGGAAGGAAAAGAGACATTCCAAAGGCATTTGAGTCAGTGGGGGGGAGGGGGGGGGGACCCCAAAACTCCTCACTCCCAAAGATAATCCCTAACCCAAATTTACGATTTTCATCACAGTATTTTTTTCTCCATCCACAAATCTTCCTAGACAGCTTCCAAAAATAGGGGGCTAGGTGGTTCAAGGCAGAGGTGACAATTTGAGCCTCTACATCTCCACATTTAATATTCAATTCTCTTCTTCTAAATTCCCATGGGAGTTACCAAAAGAAATACAAAAATAAGAGAACATCTGTCTCTTTGCTGGAAATCAAGAAGGGAGCTATCCACACAGCAGGAACTTCCAGGAATTTCTGTAAATTAAAGTCACAGAAGGAGAATCTAGAGCTGTGTTTGGTAAACTTTATCCATTCCCATGCTACCTCTATGGATTTTGCTACCCTTTATATCTCTTTCTAGAAAAGAAAGGCAATAGGATTTGTTACAAGTAGAAAGTAACTGTAAAAAAAAAAAAAAGTAAACAAATCAACAAATTGCAAATCAACATTATTCAAGTCTAAGTAGATGATGTTGCTTTGCAAAGGCTCTGAGCCTAAAGCCTGCACCCCCTTCCCTTTTAATGGGATATCAGCAAAAAGCAAGTATTAAAAAGTGTTAAGGCCAGGCGCGGTGGCTCACGCCTGTAATCCTAGCACTCTGGGAGGCCAAAGCGGGTGGATCACTCAAGGTTAGGAGTTCGAAACCAGCCTGAGCAAGAGCAAGACCCTGTCTCTACTAAAAATAGAAAGAAATCAATTGGACAACTAAAAATATATAGAAAAAATTGGCCGGGCATGGTGGCATATGCCTGTAGTCCCAGCTACTCGAGAGGCTGAGGCAGGAGGATTGCTTAGCCCAGGATTCTGAGGTTGCTGTGAGCTAGGCTGACGCCACGGCACTCACTCTAGCCTGGGCAACAAAGTGAGACTCTGTCTCAAAAAACAAACAAACAAACAAACAAAAAAAACAATAATGACTAATACTTACTGAGTGCTTTTTACTAGACATTGGGCACCTCACTTAAATTAACTAATTTGCTATCACAACAATCCTGTGACATAATTACCATTATTATCTCCAAACGAGGAAACAAGGCACAGAGAGGCTAAGTAACTTGCTCAAGGGTACACAGCTAAGAAGTACTAGAATAAAAATTCTAACCACAGAAGTCTGATTCCAAAGTCTTATTTATTTATTTATTTTTTTAATAAGACCAAAATGTCATTATCAAAAGTAACGAAAAATGTTTAAAGAACACAATTGTAAGATAACAGTGATTTTAAGATAATAGTTATCTGTTCAGAAGGAGAGAAAAATAAAAAAAGAATGACACAAGAAAGGGAAAAAAAAACTTTAGAAACAGAAACACCATAAGAGAAACATGGTAATTAAAACCATAAACATTAAAACATTTCCTTGCGGAGGGGAGAAAGACTTTCAAGTTTCAGTTTTTCATTTTCTTTTTTTAAAAAGCTGACAACATGCCACTTGTCATTATACAAGACCGAAGGACGTAGTAACATGAAACATAAAAGAATGGGGAGGAGCTACTAGGAAGAAGGGATCTCCTGCTCTGCACCCAAAGTGGGCACATTAAAAGGTAAATCAGGCTGGGCGCGGTGGCTCACGCCTATAATCCCAGCACTCTGGGAGGCAGAGGCAGGTAGATCGTTTGAGCTCAGGAGTTTGAGACCAGCCTGAGCAAGAGCGAGACCCCATCTCTACTAAAAAAAATAGAAATAAATTAGCTGAACAACTAAAAATATATATATATAAAAAAGTAGCCGGGCATGGTGGTGCATGCCTGTAGTCTTAGCTACTGGGGAGGCTGAGGCAGGAGGATTGCCTGAGCCCAGGAGTTTAAGGTTTGAGGTAGCTGTGAGCGAGGCTGACGCCACGGCACTCTAGCCTGGGCAACAGAATGAGACTCTGTCTCGAAAAAAAAAAAATAGTAAATTAGATCTCGTTAATTCCTTGCTCCCCATCTTATTCAGGGTAGAAGACAAAGTCTTTGCAAGGCCCCACAGGGTCTCCCCAGCACCCCGCAAGCCAGCCCTCGTGGATCCAGCTCCAGCTACACAGCACCTCACTGCTGCTCAAAGTGCCAGGCATCCTCCTGCCTCGAGGCCTCTGCACTTGTCATTCTCTGTCCAGGACGCTCTCTCCATGGATGCCCACATGGCTCACTTCCTCGCTCCATGCAGGTCTTTGCTGCACGTCACCTTTTCAGTGAGATCTGTCCTGAACACCCTATACAATCCGAATAGCTCTCCCCCTGGCATTCCCTGTCCCCGTTTCTTATTGACTTTTCTCTACTGCATTTATCAGCTTTGAACATGCGATGTTTTACTGTTTACTTCTGGTTCATTTAAAAAAAATTGTCTATGTTTCTCCAACAGGCAAGAAAACTCCACAAGGCCAAGGACTCTTGTCTGTTTTGCTCACTGGTGTGTCCCTAGCACAGTAGGTGCTCGCTAAGAATTACAGGTTCAGTGAATGAATGCATGCCAGCAACGAGGGAGAATTATAGGGAAAAGGCATTAACTGCAACAAAGACAACTTTATGCCAACATAGTTAGAATTGAAGAGTTATGTGGCTAATAATATTGCCACATACATATAAGGCAAAAATCAATAGAAACGAAAAAAAGGGTTTTGAAACAATTTTACTGGGAGAACCTTAATAAGCACTATATATTTAGCTCAAGCAAACAAAAAGACGACACGAAGGCATAAAAGATCTGGACGTTATAGCACAGAGGAATGAATAAATGTTAAAATGCAAACCCTACAAATAGTAAATACCTTCTTATTGAAATGTCCGCAGAACATTTAGCAGCATTGAACATACACTGAGCTAAACTGAAAGGAAACGAAAGAAAAGAAGAGAAAAAGAAAGAAAAGTGTACAGGCCATATTCTCTTACTAGAAAGCATTAAGAACTGTAATTTAGCACTAATAATAAACGTTTAAGCAAAAAGCAAAGTCTAGAGGTTAAAAAAACAATGCCTAAATAAAAGCATGCTACAAAAGGAGATTAAAAACACAATTCCAGACCTCAAGGAAGCCACAAAAGCCAGGACGTGACATATCAAAACTTTGAGAAAATATTTATTCTCTCAAACGCTTGTTCATTATTTTCTAAAGAGCAGAGTAAGGTGAAAAGCAGAAAAAATAAATTAGTAAAATATTCAACTGAGATTCAAAGGCAACCACAAAGCAAACCCACAGAAAAGGAGAAAACAAACACAGGACTGATACACGTGTCCCAGAGCTAATTCTTTGAAGAAAATAGATGGATATAACAGAGGAACCTCGGGAAAATCAAGGGGCGAGAGCAGAGACAGCACAGATGAGCAGCACTGGGAACACAGAGGAGGACCTGACGACAAACAGAGAGCAGGTGGCAGAGAGGCAGACGAGGGGCCCGGGGCTGGCTCTCCACATCCGGGAGCTTCCACATCTGCTGCTGCCACATGGCCTGAAATGGCAGCACCACAGAATAGCTGGAGGAGCCTATGCCCTCCCAGATGGGGAAACTGAGTCTCAGAGAGGGCATGTGACTTACCCCAAATCACAGAGTGTTAAAAGAATCCCTGGGACAAGAACCCCAACACCTAGGACTTGGTGCCTTTAGATGGCACCTGAGAAGTCCGGTCCCTACATCTGCAGAGGACTTTTATATGTAAAATCTGAAGAGGGCTTTCATTTTGCAAAAGTTCCCTTCCAGCTATTATTTCACCAAATTTACAACGACCCTGCAGTGGTGGTTGGTGGATAGGGGGTGCTGTCATCGATCTGATGAATGGCACGATATCCGCGGAGGAGGCGGTAGCACAGAGAGGTGAAGCGACTGGCCTGCAGTCACGAAGCATCCGTCCAGTTAGGAGAGCCAAGGTCAAATCCTACCTGTCTACTCTCTAGCCCTTGGCCTAGCCCTGTATCAGGAGGCAGAATGGGATCTGTACATGCCTAGGCTGTGGCATCTTAGAGACCCAGACCTGAACCCCAGCACTGTCCCTTACGAGCTGTTTGTCCCTAACACATAGCTCAACTACTCTGATCCTTAGGAATGATGATTTATGTAGAATTATTGGGAGAGTTAAATGATCATCTAAGTGTAAATGCAGTAATATCTTGGACTTACTCCTGATGCTTAACCACCCCTTATCATGAAGACTTTTTTTTCCCTCTCTGCTCCCTGCTGTCTGCTTCCAGGGAGTAGACAAGGCAGGGGCCAGCCCAGCAAGGAGGATGCGGCATATGTGGGGCCTGGAGAACCTTGGGAAGGAGGACGAAGAGGAGGCGGTTGCACGGGGAGAAGGCAGGGGGCTTTGTCCCCCTCCTCAGTGGGAGGCCTGGCCAGGGACCTACCTATATGGAGGGCCATATCACCCCACACCACCCCCTGCAGCCAGGCGACACTCCTGGCTGTCCATGAATGAGACCCAGAAATGAAGGGTCACAGAAGTGCTGAGAGATGGGGCCTGGCAGTGGCCTGGGAGTAGGGGACAGAGAGACCTCACAACGGCAGGAAACAGACCAGGACCGGGGACTCCAGCGTGAAGCCAGAACGTCACCCCAAAGCCTGGTGGGACCAGCTCTGCCTCGGCAGGCACTGGTTTGGGACCGGGCAGGAAGGCTCCGGCGCAGCAGGGAAGCCCAGACGGTATCTCATGCAGTGAAGGGTTCCTTCTCCTTTGTCACAAAGCTACATGAGAATGTCTAAGTCCCTTGGACCGAGCGAAGAAGCTATATATTTTCTGCACATCTGCTTAATGCCATGTAAACGTGTGACTCCGCGACACCTGGAAATGTTCGGCCCAGCGCCTGGCATCTAGCAAGAGTCAATAAGTGGCAACTATTGTTATTATAATTAGTATTATTATGTTCTCTCATGTCTCACTTACACTCCCTGGGAATCGCACATGCTTTCTCTTTAACCTCTCCGAACTTGACGTCAAGAGGAAGCAACGCCCACCCTGAGTGCACGAGGGCGGGCCCCGTGCGAAGTCAGATCGTCCATATGTTAGGAAAAGAATCCAAAACATGAGGGGGGAAAAAAAAGCCAAAAAAGATGACTGTGTGACCTTTTAATGTTATGCTAGAGCATTTTTTAATTAGGTAGCTCCTTCCTCACTGTAATATCACTTTGTTTAACTTATTATTCACCAGCGAGTCGGGCCCAGATGGCCTCCCTCATCTGCAAAGATAGATGCTAACTTCTAGAAAACTGGGGTGAGATCTTTTTTTTTTTTCAGTCTGACAGTTAAGATAACCCCAAAGATTGAGATTCTACTGCGCTGTTCATCAGCCAGCTTTATATTTGACCTAGCAAAGCTATTTCAGCATTCCTTCTACTGACTACACATGTATCCCCAACCTTCTGTGGGGTCAGCCATTCCTCCTGCTGTTTTCCTCATTAGTGAGCTAAGGAAAACCTTGACAAATGCTCATTATCTATCATATGAGAATGATGGTTTTAACCATTTGTGAACTGTGTGTGTTTTAGCACACCTTTTTGCGGGGGGCACACTCCCAGCTCCTGTCTTCTTCTCGTCTCTCATCATGTTGTTATTGTTATTTGTGTGATTTCTTGTTTGAGGCTAATCCCCCCACTCCGCCCCCAGCCATAAGCCGAGCTCCAGGAGGGCACGCCTACCTTATACCTTGATGTGTCTCTAGTGTCTAGAAGCCACTAGACAATATGTATCTGAAGAAAAGCCCAAGGTAGATAACGGAACAGAGATAGGAAGTTGCGAAATGAACAACGGAAGACGAGTGTGTGGACCAGACACTACATTCTCTTTCCTGGTAAACCGGTTTGATTTTTATTTCCTTTCATTTATAACCGGAAAAAGTCTGAATGAGATAATTCAGAAATGATACAATGTATCTTAAGAAATAACAGCAGCCCTCATGATCACCATTCTTCCCAAAACCATAGTGCCAGGTTGGACTATCTCATCTGATTCCTTTCCGATAACTGCGAAGCAGTTGCCAAGATGGCTTACCCAGCCTCTCTGTTGGTAATGTGGAGGACTTTTTTCTTTTTTTTTTTTTTTGGCCATGAAATGGAAGCAAAGCAAAATCTTCAGCACAAAGAGACACTGCAGCTGACCAGGACAATGACTCCCCAGTACATTTCTGGCCAGGATTGCTGACCACTCCCAATGAAGAAGCAGCTTCTTACCCATCAGAATCTGACAGTGGATTGCTCATATCTTTTGGGTAAATTGTGACAGCCACTTTAGTGCCCATGGGCCCCGTCAAATCACATAATTGTATAAAGTGGGGCAGACGTAATAAAATAGGGGATGGAAAGGACTGTGACAAATGGAAAATCCATGTTCTGTCTAAAAGGGGCATTAACTGCTCAACTGTTCTCAAGAGCTGCCTTCCAAGCCCCAGATTTTTAACTAACTCTAGGCTCAGATTTTTAATTAATTCTTTTTTTTTTTTTTTTTTTTTTTGCCTGAGAACCCAAATAAAACATGTCTGTTTGAGGACGATCCAATCTACCAGCCATCACTTTGGGGCTCTGTTTTAGTATTTCACTTTTAAGAGAAAAAGGAAAACATACTTGAGCCCATTGATAGAGCCAGCTGTATTGTAGCTTTCAAAGCAAAATCTTTTCTTACCAGCCATCAACACCAGCTTTCTGCAGCTCAGAAATCCCAAATGACAAAGATCCCATGAAGTCATTCCTGCTGGTCAGATCCCAATCCCAAATCTCTACTGACAGTCTTCTGTCTTTGTCTGACTCTTTCAGCTGACTGCGAAGAGAAAAAAGAGAAGTCAGTGGAGGTTGTAGTCATTCCTCAAGCAGAAGAAACGTACAAGAGAACAAGGCCTGTGATAGAAACTTTTAAAGATTACAAGCTGCTGCAAGAAACATATTCAGTTTCCATGCCAGGCTGGCTCTCCAGGGAGTGAGAGCATTTCCTGGGTGACAGGAACTGGTCTAACTACTTTTGCCGTCTTATGTCTTAATAGGGTTCATGGTGCTCGGGAAATCTTATTGACAGTCCGTATAAGAAATATAGTTATCAATTACATAGCTGGGGGTGCGTGTGTGCATTTGAGGATGAGGATGAGGAGATGTACGAAGAAAAATCCCATTGGTGCCTCTCTGGGGAAAGTGTCCGTTCTCAGGCATGTCCTGATTACAGTTGAAAGAGAGCCCAGTTTTGCCCTGGGAGAGGGAACTGGGGATGGGGTACCACAGACCAGTGGCTAAAAGCATCACCCCTGAAGTCTGACTGCCCAGGGCCACATCCACTGCACCCCAGATTTGCTACGGACTTTGAGCATATTCCTGAACCTCTATGTGCCCCACAGGTAAACTGGGAATGAGATGAGCCAACAAAGTTAGATCACTTAACACAGTGCTTGTTACGCATAGTGTGTGCTTAACAAATCAGCTATTATCATTAACACCCGGTATAGTCCAGATGCATCAAAAAGCGATTCCCAGATTCTTGGAGCCCTGGCCAGGGAAGATGCTCAGGGGAGGCTGGCGGGGATCCCCCAGGAGTCTGCAGACCCAGCATCAGCCACAAACTCAGCCCTAGAGAGGTTGTCACCCCACTCCATAGGTTATGTCCCCCTGTTTGCTGAGATCTATCATTTCTCCCACAACTTGTCTTCACCTAGCAGCACATGGCATTCTCCTATCCCACCCACTCCCCCACGCCCCAGGCATTCTCAACTCTATTAAAAAAAATAGTTCTAATTTTTTCTTGGCTCACATTACAAAGATGCAGATGGAAGAGAACGGAGGGAAAGTAAGGAATGAGGGAGGGAGGAGCAGGCAGGGACGGAAGCAGGGAGAGGAGGAAACCCAAGCTAAGAGAGGAGCTCCCTGATCTCGGGTGGCCCCTAACCCACCTCCACCTCCCATGCTGGGCTGCACGGTTTCAACTTACAATCTAAATGTCTCGTTCCACTCGGGGTTGAGGGAGCACTTGATGGTTTTGGTCTTCTGCTTGCTCTCGCTTTTGGGATCAGGAATCAGTTTCAGTTTTACGTAGGGATCTGACAAGCCATTGGGGTCCATGGGTACAAGGTTTTTAGCATCTCTTACTAAAAAAAGAAAAGAAAAGCAGTTTAGGTGTTTGCGGTACCCAAAATGTTAAGTACCAACCAATGATGGCTGTAGAAACTGTGGAAAATCCCTGGCATCATGCTTATTGGATGGGAATTTTAATTTTACCAACATCGATAGCTAAAAAAGCATAGAAAATGAGATGAGCTGATAAGATGTAAACTCTGTTCTATAATATATTGGTTAAAAATCGATTGCTGACTTTCATACTGTTCTCCCCATGCCACCCCCAAGATTAACTGTAAGTTTCCCGAGCTTGTTTACTACAAAGCTCACAAGAAAGACTGGCTTCCTAACCATGCAGCATAATGTTTCCAAGGCTCACCACACCGTAGCATCTATCGGTACCTCATTCCTTTCTATAGCTGAATAATATTCTATTATACAGATGTCTCATGTTTTGTTTATCCCCAGATGAGCAACATTTGAGTTCTTTCCACCTTTTCGTTATTGTGAATGGTGCTGCTATGAAAATTCGTGTACCCAGACACAAAAGGTCACATGTGGTATGATTCCATTTACATGAAACATCCAGAACAGGTAAATCCATAGACACAGAAAGCAGAATTAGTTGCCAGAGGCTGCGGGGAGGGAGAAGTGAGGACTGATTTCTTAATGAGTACAGGGTTTCCTTTAGGGGCGATGACAATTTCTTGTAACTACATAGAGGTGATGGTTGCACAACGCTGTGCATGTGCCATAAACATCACTGAATTGTACACTTACAAATGGTTAATGGTTAATTTTATGTTATGTGAATTTTACCTCCATTCAAAAATAAAAAGCTAAAAAAGAAGTAAATAGTTGCCCTCTAAGCCAAGGTGCACCTATTATTCATGTGTCACCTATAATCAGCACCCAATCAGCCCATAAAGAGAGGAGGCTGGAAAAATACCAGCGATATCGCAGCTAGACTTCACCCTCAGTCAAGCATCCTGGCTAAAGGAGGCAGAGAATCAGAAGTGTAGATGCAACTGGCCAGTAGAAACAATGAGGGAGAATAAAACATCAGCCTGGAGAAACAGGGAGAAGTGAATTAGGAGTTGATTCAAAAGCCAGCAACCAGGAATGTTGGTACTTTGAGATAGTAGTCTACCAACCTCCTCATTTGCTGACAAATTAATAAACTCCTCTTTACTTCTAAAAAAAAAAACCAAAAAAACAAAACAGTAAGGCAGGTTGTCAAGAAATGCCAACCACTAGGAGAGAAAAATCTCACCTATGATAGAAAAATCCCAGGTAATATATTCAATCCAAATGGAATCAAACTATCTTCTAGAAGGTAAACACATAATGACTCCTACCAGGAATGCAAAGATGGTTCAACCTTAGGAAATCCACTTTTAATATATTCATCATATTTACAGGTCACAGAAGAAAACCACAAAATCATTGCAGTTATCTAGAAATAGCAGGGAATTTTTTTAACAAGACAAAGTCTAACTGAAATAATGGCACCACAGATCATGATAAACGCAATCCCTTGACAGTCAGGAATAAGACAAAGATGCCCATTACCACAGCCATTATGCAACACTTTTTCTTAGTGCTCCACAAGTGCAATAAAAAACAGGAGTTCTATAAATTCAAGATGACAAGAAAAACGGATTAGAAAAAGGAATATTGGAAAGTAGAGGGTCAAGCACCCTCTCAGTTCCTACAACCTTTGCTTCCACCTGGTCATAGTCATCTCCTCCATGGTCACACCCTGGAGCTTATTATCCCAGAAAGTACACCACTTGCTCAGTCTCAGTTTCACGTACTCCACTGTCTTACACCATTTCCTTTTTTTTTTTTTTCAGTTTATTAACTCCATTTCCCTACTTAAGTCTTCCTCCACCAATCTGTCCATTGTACCCAATATACTTCCTCGATCTCTCCATTGCCTCTTTTACTCCATTTACCCCCAGCTTAGGTTTTATGGTGCATTATACTCTCACCCTTGAAAACAACTTCAAATCCCTTGCCCCACTTTTTTTCCATTTTATTGACCTGGTAAAACCCCAGTCCTACTTAAATTCAAATATCTTCCCTTTATTTTCCTACACCCAAGCAGTTGACTATTGCTAAAAAAAAAAAAAAATAGGACTGATTTGCCTGAAATCATATAGTTGATAAAGTATTGGGACTGAATAAATGAGATGGGAAAAGAATTAGGTGGGGTACCAGGATGCAAGTTGTAACTTACTCTGCATTGACATTTTTCTGCATGTCAGCAATACAGCACTTTCTTCCAATTATCCACAAGCTGAATTCATCCTCCATCTCAGCTTGCAAGTTGCACTTCATTCTTGCACCAAAAGCAACAATTTTTTCCTCTTTGGTCTTGATCAGTTAAGTTCAACAGGCAGGTCCCTACTCTGTGCTAAGCATTCTGCTAGACACTGATGATGCAAGGGAGAAAATATGATGTTGATTCTGTCCCCAAGGAGTGTATAAAAATGTATTAAAAGTAGAGTTGATTTCTGATGAGACAGGAGCTAGGCTGTACAGTGTCAAGGATATAAGGATACAAGATGCCAGGGTCTTACCTTGCAGTTATGTCACATACTTGAACCTCAATTTCTTGATCAATAAAATGAGTCATTATAAGGGTAAAATTACATAAAGAATATGCGTGTTTAACACAGAACTTGGAACCTGGAAAATACTCAATAAATAAATGTTACCTAGTAATACATTACTGCTATTTTATTATTATTCTTATTCACATTCGGTACCCTCTTTGACCACACTTACCCATTTTTATTATGAATACCTAACCATTTCCCAAATGGACCTATCTCAAATGGAACCACTTCTGTTTCTTTCTTGAGGAAAATGCATTCGACCTTTCCACTTGAACAGTTCCAGAGAAGTGCTTCTGAAACCTTAGTGTACATAAGATTCACTCAGAGGGCTTGTGAGACACAGATTCCTAGCCTCCCCCGCCGCCAACAACACACACTAGATTCTGATTCGTAAGTCTGGAGTGGAGACCTACTCATTTGCTTTCTAACACATTCCCGTGTGAAGCTGATACTGCCAGTTCATAGGACACACATTGTCGGGTTCTAGAGAATGACAATTTCTTAAGATACCATGTATTTTCCCATTGGATACAATCTCCAACTGTTACTTTCTCTTATCTCTTAAGCCTTCCAAGAAAAATGGCATGTGCCAGTTTCAGGCTGAGATCTTGGAATGGCACATCCATCGCATAGTGAGCTGCATAAACACACGATCTGAGACACCTCAAAGTGCCAGAATTTGTATGTCTGGTTGATTAGCAAGATGTGCAAGGTGAACAGCTCATCTTTCTTCTCTCTGATAATCCCCTCCCCTCCATCTTACGAACTGGCACCACAAGGATAGTCATTGGGGGAAAAAATGCTTCTATTGGATAGCTTAGAAGTTCACAGCTCTCTCACTGTTCCTTTGCAGGACAAGAGTGTGTATTCTGAAGCTGTCAATCTCAAGATTAATGTTTAAGAATGACTTTCCTTGAGTAGGCTACCAACCAAACATTCCTCACCGAGGCATGATTCCACCTGCTTTGAACTATCCTCTTACCAAAGGGGTCAAAAAATTCTTGGGAAGAATGGAGCGGAATTGACTCTGGGTGCTGGCATCACATCTTCAAGAGCTCTGGCTACTGTAAGGCACTCTATCATGGCAGTTGACAGTAGCTTCAGGCTAAGATCCAAAGGGCTGTCCCTCCTGAAGTTTGTCAAGTCATGTTTCCCAGCAGCAAGAAAGCCGCATACGTATCAAGGAAGCAAATCTCTCTAGACCACACTTGGCGAGACTGCTTGTTTTTCTTGATAATGTTCTTTACTATCTTTGTTGAAATCCAGCCAGCCCAGATGGTACAGAATGCTTCACGCAAAGCAGAATAGCAAACTTCCCCTCTGGTGGAATTTGTATAATGTACAAGAGTGTCCTGCCCAGAACATTGCTTGGCCTTGGACATGGAAGCTAGTGGGGGGAAGGTCTGGCTGTTTCCATCAAAGGGTCTTCAGAGCAACAAGGTTTCTGCATTCTGGCAAAAGTACCTAAGACCGTGCAGAACTATAGCATGAATGTTAACCATTTTCCTAAGAAGTGTTCTTCACAAGAAATTCCTAATTTTTTTTCTTTCCAAGAACATACAATATCAGGTGGAAGACTCTGATAATTGTGCTGCTTTCATGCCTTGATTCCACGTTGTGTGAATCAGGACATCCTTTATTAATTCCTTTTTTTTTTTTTTTGTTCAGAGCTAGGGTCTGCTCTGTCTCCCAGCGCTACAGTGCAGTGGCATCAATAGTTCACTGCAACCTCCAACTCCTGGGTTTAACCACTTCTACCAGTGTCGACTATAGGACAATAGCCACAATGAATGTGCACAGCATTTAGCTGACAGCTGGTGATATGACTTTTCTAATTTTTCATTTATCAAAATAAAATTGTGAGCATTTTTAAAATAACATATGAAACATATATTATATGTTATCCTATTCTGATTTACATTACAAGTAAGCTGCCTGTAAAGTAAAAAAGCTTTCAGTGCTTTAAAGTCTTTCTCATCACACAAGAGCAAAACGGATTCGTTGTCAATGCACAGCACAAGCTATCTGCGGACTATGGTGCCGCTGTGGGCAAGGTTTCACGGCTGGTGAACGTGTGTACCAAAGTGGTTAAGGCATCCTCCTGCCTCCAGCCTTCTGAGTAGCTGGAACTACAAGTGCACACCACCATTGCCCAGTTATATTTTATTTTTGTAGAGATTAGGTCTGCTATGTTGCCAGGCGGCTGCGTGTCTCGAACTCCTGGACTCAAGCAATCCTCCCGCCTCGGCCTCTCAAAGTGCTATGATTACAGCAGGAGTGATTGCACCCAGCCCTGTTAACTCATTTTGAAGGACCTTTTCTCAACATGGTAAGCCCTCATTTGTTCTCACTGTGTGTAATTGAACAGTAATTCAAAGCAACATCCACTAACGTTCAGTTTGAGGCTC